TGTTATAAACCACGGAAGAGGTTAGCTTCAGAAGGTCAGGCAGGGGGGCTTCTGAATTTGCCTTTGGATGTCGGGGGCTAATTGGGTTAGGGATTGGTTGGCCATTCCAAGCCCGCCAGCCTCAGATTCAGGGTCCAAGCTGGGATGGCACTTTCTCATGGCCCTGGTTTACTGTGGCCCTTTTACTGGAAACTAGAACCCATATATTTTATTATATGGGTTTAGATCTACTCTGTTTCAAGCCTCCCAATAGGGAGACGGAATTGTGATCTCTTGCCCATCTATAGGTAAGAAACACAGTTGACAATCCTTTGGGGCTAGAGGTGTCCCTGCTGAGCCCCAAGTCACCCTGGAGAGCCTGGGACCCAGACATGTCTCTATGGAACCTCCAACTATCGTTTCTGGTGCAGATGAGCATCCCTGACTTGTGAACGCCTTTGGCCTGGTGAGCCTCCCCAAGAGGGAACCCCATCATCCTCCCCCTTCATTTATGTGAGTTTCCTCGCAGGGCGGGGAACTGTATTCCCTGTTCTAAGATAGCATCTAGTTTGGCAAACCGGTGTTTGTTATTTCTTTCTCCTTCCCAATCTCCCCACCAGGACAATGATCCCATCAAAGATCTCCCTCCCCGCCGGGGCCTGAAGGGACCAAAGGGGGCCATCCCAGGCCTCCGGCAAAATGTACAACCAAATATAAGTGATCGGAGGAGTGGAGGATATTTGAAAACTATGGGGTGTCCGTGAACAGGGCTTGGGAAGAAAGCACAGGAGGTGCCTAAAGAGATGAGGCGGGCATGAGAAATCCGCTTGGGGCGCGCGGGGGTGCGGCAGAGGCAACAGATGCCAACCCCCGGACGGCCCACAGAACCGCGAGGGAGGGTTGAAGGGCTCTTCTTAAAGCCGTGAGCCTTCTCGGAAGCTGTCCAGGACCTCCAGTTTCCCAAAGTTCAGGTCCACAACAAAGGGTAAGTGGGGGACCAGCGGGGGTAGGGCCTCCGTGGCCGCGTGCGCGCAGCCAGCTGCAGGTGGCGGGGCTGCCCTGCCCAGGGGAGGGACACGGCGCGAGCCCGACAGGAGGACGTCAAAGGGGAGGGCAGGGCCGCAGCAGAGGGGCGCACGGCGGGGCTTCGGAGACCCAATCCCGCGGACCCGCAGCCCCGCACCGGCCACAGGCCGGCGGACATCCCCTCCTGCGCTCGGAAGAACTCGGAGCCGCCCTCTTACGAAAGCAGGCGTTTCGTAGCAGTTACAGCGAAAGCGCACTGGAGACAAGGGTGGGGCGGGCTATTCGGGACGGAGGGCGCCCCACACGCCCTCGCTTTCGCCTCTGCACTACCACTTTCCCGCGCTGTTCCAGCCCCGCCTCCCCGCCGCCCCGGCACCCCGGGACTCCTTCCGGCGCGCCATTTTGGGCCTTTCCCATCGTGCACCGGGAACCCGCTATGTAAATGTATGATAATGAGGTCGGGGATTCTTCGGAGCGCTGGTTACCCGGAGAGCGCGTGAGCGGTCTGGGGTTTTAGGGGGGAGGTTCTTCCCGACCGTTGGAAACGTTGACCCTGCTTTCGTCCTTTGCCTCGCTGCCCTCCCCCCGGCTGGCTGCGCCACCCCCGCCCCCGGCTCACTACACCCCC